GAAGCGGTTGTTGTACAGCTTTTATTAGAAAACAAATGCAGTCAAATGTGAGCGGTTAGCTACGATAATCATAGCAATCTGTAAACATGATCTACTGTATGAAAAAAAGGAAGAAAGACCAGTAGACGGGAGAGTAAGATGCTACCTCCTGTGTCCCTGAACGCCTCGCAGGTTTGATGTGAGAATGCAGGCTGCACACAGTGAGACGTTCAGGTGCTGCTACCAATGCCTCAGAGTCAAATGTGCTTTTATTTATTCTCTAACTTATTTGTCACCTTTGTCCACCATGTATTTAAACGCAGTGAGAAAATTAAAGTCTTAATAGATTTTCTCTGGGAGTTTCTTTGTGCTTTTGTTCCTGGGTGTGTGTGTGTGTGTGTGTGTGTTGGAACTGTAAAGGGAGGTTCCAGGTCATTTCAACATAACAGTTTGTGGTTGTCGCTCGCCGACTCCTTTTTGTTCTTCGTCAGTAAAGTTTCCCTCCACATTATGACGATGGTTCGATGGCCTGATTCACCTTCAAATAATATTACATTTACAGTGCAACATGAGCCATATTTTATTGACCAGTATTGTGTGCAGTTTTGGACCCCCCCCCCTCAAATGTATCAAATCAACTGACTGTCTGTGACCTATGAAGAGAGTCAGTGTAATTGCCCCTGTAGCTGTTCTACATGACTTACCCACCACCCCCTCGTGCTCTAACCAATCTCTGTGGATTTCATGGGAATTAAGGATAAAAAGGTGCGTTTCATACAGTATGTAAAGCAGTCACATCCCAGACGGACGGGAGAAAGGGGGAGAAGCCTCTCTCCCTCTCTCCTCCTTTCTCCCCAGTTTCATCTTCCAGGCTGTGGTTGGTTTGGGGTGAGATGGGAGGAGGAAGGGGGGAGTGGGTGTGGTGGAGGGAGGTGGAGTCTTTGATCACAGGCAGAAGGTCGCTGTGGTTCAATTTCTACAGCGCCCCTGAGAGGTTTGCTGTGTAACGTCACTGATCTGGGATCAGGGACTAGATGTTTACTACTCATCCTTGAGACGAGCAGAGTGAGAGAAACCAACAATCAAGTTGGTCAAGACCTGAAGCTGAAGACATGGATCTAATTCTTCACTTCTTCTTGGATCAGAGGTGAAACGTCCTCAAGTAACTACCCCGCCCAGTTGCCCTCGATGTAACTATCCTTGGATAAAATGACCTGGATGACAGAGAACCGACACTATGAAAACAACGACACCAGTCCTTTAAAATCCGAACTGAATATAATCTTCGTCAAACATGAAAGGATTTCAGTTCAAAAAGATCAACTGTGTGAAATGTGATTGATTTCGAAAACACTGATCGGATCCTCTTCCGTTTACATCCGTTTATGGACGCGTCTCCATACCGCTGTCAATCACGTCACTGATTAAAACGTAAAAGTGCCGGTGTTCTGGATTTTGGTCGGACTCGACATTTCCCGGAATCGCTACAAAGATATTGAAAAGTTAGCTTTAATTTTTAACATGCAGTCTTTGTTAACCTGGAAATAAATGTAGACTGGAAATGAAGACCGCACTTCAGGTGTCACGTCTTCATTCAGCCCAAGATGGAACCGGATCGTTTCAGAGATCCAAACTCGGGGCAGTTGATTCAGCGATATGGTGAGTGGTGAATCTTAATACCCCCGTGTATATACCCCCACTGTGTGTGTGTGTGTGTGTGTGAATTAGCATCGTTCCTAGTATCCACGACGTCGCCTCATCTTGACAGCAGCTCTGTGAAAAGTTTACATCCTAGTTTGAAACGGTCCTTCAAAGAATATCGTCCTCCATGAAACCGCGCTGTAAAGTATCGTCCGACAGTTCAACAGGTACAACTCTTATCCTGCATGACGCTGGTCCGCAGTGCAGACACAAATGATGATGTCATTCAACAACAGTTTTCCTCTGTTTGAAAAAACGAGGACAAATATTTACATTTCTGCCGATCAGAAAAAGAGCAGCAGGTAGAAGACGGCCTAGTTTTCCAGGTTATTGGGCGGGAAGACTGGCGTGTGATGACATGGACACTGACGCTGACCTTGGCCACAGCAGGTCCAGAGCCAGGAGTTGAACTGCATTGTCCTCTGGGAGCAGATCTGGACTTTTATGCTTAGTGTTAAATGTTCTGTGGTCACAAAAACAGGACAGTGTAGAAGGACCAGAGACAGTTTCCCTAGTTAATACCAGGAGTCTTCAACGGGAGGTTGGCAAACCCTACATGGTCCCACTGGTCAATGGTCAATTCATTTCACTAGAGCTGAGGACAAGTTGATGTCTTATTGTGTTCCAGTTATTATAATCAAGTCCACCCTCACCCTCAGTCTCCCCCTCAGTCTCCCTCTCAGTTTCCCCCTCAGTCTCCCCCTCAGTCTCCCTCTCAGTCTCACCCTCAGTCTCCCCCTCAGTCTCCACCTCAGTCTCCCCCTCAGCCTCCCCCTCAGTCTCCCCCTCAGTCTCCCTCTCAGTCTCCCTCTCAGTTTCCCCCTCAGTCTCCCCCTCAGTCTCCACCTCAGTTTCCCCCTCAGTCTCCCCCTCAGTCACCCCCTCAGTCTCCCCCTCAGTCTCCACCTCAGTCTCCCTCTCAGTCTCACCCTCAGTCTCCCCCTCAGTCTCCCTCTCAGTCTCACCCTCAGTCTCCCCCTCAGTCTCCACCTCAGTTTCCCCCTCAGTCTCCACCTCAGTCTCCACCTCACTCACCCCCTCAGTCTCCCCCTCAGTCTCCCTCTCAGTTTCCCCCTCAGTCTCCCCCTCAGTCTCCACCTCAGTCTCCCTCTCAGTCTCACCCTCAGTCTCCCCCTCAGTCTCCCTCTCAGTTTCCCCCTCAGTCTCCCCCTCAGTCACCCCCTCAGTCTCCCCCTCAGTCTCCACCTCAGTTTCCCCCTCAGTCTCCCCCTCAGTCTCCACCTCAGTCTCCACCTCACTCACCCCCTCAGTCTCCCCCTCAGTCTCCCTCTCAGTTTCCCCCTCAGTCTCCCCCTCAGTCACCCCCTCAGTCTCCCCCTCAGTCTCCACCTCAGTTTCCCCCTCAGTCTCCCCCTCAGTCTCCACCTCAGTTTCCCCCTCAGTCTCCACCTCAGTCTCCCTCTCAGTCTCACCCTCAGTCTCCCCCTCAGTCTCCCTCTCAGTCTCACCCTCAGTCTCCCCCTCAGTCTCCACCTCAGTTTCCCCCTCAGTCTCCACCTCAGTCTCCCCCTCAGCCTCCCCCTCAGTCTCCCCCTCAGTCACCCCCTCAGTCTCCCCCTCAGTCTCCCTCTCAGTTTCCCCCTCAGTCTCCCCCTCAGTCACCCCCTCAGTCTCCCCCTCAGTCTCCCTCTCAGTCTGTTCCTGTTCCTGTAAACCTGTTTGTGAGTCATGTGTTTGTTCCTCTCTGTGGTCCCAGGTTCGGAGCTCTTACGGTGTTAAAACAAGGATGTGTGTGTGTGACAGATAAGAACGGGGAGAAACACTGACACCTACCGGCTGACGTTGGTACTGTTTGTTCTTTTTTCCCAAAGTTGTTTGTTTTGTGATTGATTGTCTCGGGACATTATTTGAGAACCTTCCGGTGTCATCTGAGGACAGATCCGTCCTGTAATTCTCAGACCCTCAGGTTCCCGACAAAAGAATCAGTCATGGTTACATGAGTCAGAGACAAAGTGACAGCTGAGGGAACTGAGAGGACGCTTCTGCTCCAGTCTGCTTGTTGACTAACCTCTCACTGTCACTGACCAGACCCTCCCCCGCTGACACCTGTCTCCCCCGTCTCCCACTGCAGTCATTCAGGAGACACACGTCAGTTTGTCTTTACAGTGAGGACTGGGTTGAATGTGTCTCAAACATACTTTGGTTCTACGTCCTGTCTGATGTAGACCTAATGTGTTGGGGTGTTCCTGACTGTTGGAGCTCCTGGATGACACGTGGTGGTCATCGTGGTGGTCATCGTGGTTGGTCTGTAGAACATTTCAAGATGCTTTTCTTCCTGTTGTACTTCATACACAGCCACTGGTCACAGACCGACTGTAGACTGTGGTCTGTAGACTGTGGTCTGTAGACTGTGGTCTGATGGGCAAACTGGGATAAGCAGGAAGATTTAGATCTGTGGGGTCAGGATCGATGGTAGTGGACCATGGGGAACATCTAACATCCATGTAATGAACACACTACATCTTCCTCAGACGCCCTCTAGAGGAATGAAGAAACATGGATAAAGAGGAACTCAAGAAAGGGCCATCGGGGGAAATTCTTGAAAGTGTGTGTGTGTGTGTGTGGAGTGGTGTGTGTATGTGTATCAAACCAAGGATTTGGGGGTGGGTGTAGACAATATGACAATAATGAGAGGAAGCCATTTAATTGGAGAGTTGAATGGAATGAGATCAGATGATGTTAATGTAGTTTGCGCTCCCTCTGCTGCTGCACTTGTTAACACTCGAGGCAGTGTTGAGCTCTTCCACATCAGCCTCCTGCTGCTCCTCGGTGAGCGTGTACATATATTTGACTTGTATGTGATAAATGTCAGGAAGCTAATAACAAACGCTGTCTTTGATTTGTATTGATAAAAGACGCCCTAATGACTGTGCTAATGCTAGCCATGTGACGTAGCAGGCACCGCAGCCAGCCTGTGGGTCAGAGGGCGTCCTTAGTCTGTGGGTGACGGTACAGTGACGCGGTGATGACAGACGTGCTCACGTGACCAGCTCACAGCCGTGTCTGTTGAACACATGAACACACAACACAAATCCAACATGGCTGACATGGTGTGCAGTAATCTGTGCAGATATCAGGACACGCTGAGGAAAATAGTTTTTATTGATTTGAACTCATCAGAGAGAAACAGTGACACCAGTGGACAGACAGTCTTCCTGCAGTTGGACGTACATCACTTATGAAGTTTGGTTCTGGCCCATATCATCTGCTAACGCCTCACTGCCCCTGTCCATACACTGGTCTGACCTATTGGCTGTGGTGATAATTACAGCAGATCAATAGCATTGAACCACCCTCCCCCCNGGTGAGTGAGTGGCTGAAGGCTCTGAGGATGGAGCGGTACCAGGAGGACTTTGACCGGGCCCACCTGGACTCGTTGGACCGAGTCAGCCACCTGACCATGGAGTGAGTGCAGAGAAGTACTGACAGTGTACCATGAAGTAGTACTACAGTACAACTTCAGGGATGAGTAGAAGCTAAATGTAAAGGTTTGAGCTGAAACCCTGACTCTGTCCCTCAGTGATGTCCAGCATCTGGGCGTCAACCTGCTGGGACACCAGAGGAAGATCGCCAACGCGGCCCAGCAGCTCAGGGCCTATCTGACCCAGGGCCAGGTGGAGGTATGACCTCTGACCCCAGAGTGACCTGTGCTTTTCTTCCACTTCCTTCAACACACTAACATTCACTCAAACAAAACTAGCTCCGTGTGGCTAACCAGGTTTGGACAGAGGTCAGAGGTCAGAGGTGGTCCACTGAAGGACATGTTCTGGACATCAAAGATGTTGCTGTTGTTTGCCTCACCCGTCTGTAGCCTCACCTCCCCCATCTCCACCACCCTCCCTTGAACTTGTCAATTTACCCTTCACCTCAGAGAGTACTTTTAGTATAAAAGTATAAAAGTATTCTTAACTGAAATATTTATCTTTCTTTAAAAAGAACAGCGTGAAGACAATCAGAGCCTTTTTTATTTTAGAAAAGGTAAATGTTTGGGATGAACCAAAACTGAAAACTGAACGAAAAGATTGAGTCAGTTCTCATCGGTACCAGGTCATTGATGACTGACTGTGAACTGGACCTCAATCAAACCAAGGAGATTGAATAAATTAATATGAATGTTTCAAATGAAATGAAAAAATGAGGAAAATATGTCTTTATCACATTCCATCAATGAACATCAAATCAAATCAACTTCTAAATCCCATGTTAAACCAGACTCCATTTCTGTGTCCATTCAGTGATAATGTCCAGGCCGACTGGTCATCAAAACACAAAGGTCACTGAGGTCAACTGTGGATCAGTTCTGGTGTTGACCACACCAGTCTTTAGGGTCATATTCAGTGCATCCCAAGTAAATGTTGACTTTAAACACCGCAGTGAGACACCATCCTGTGTTAGTTACCCCCACTGCCACCTCACTCCGTGGTCCGTGGTCTCCACCTGGTCCATTAAAGGAAGAACATCTGCTACTCTTTAGTTAGTTGCTCCAACGGGACGAGAACAGAGAGAATGTTCTCCATGAAGACCCACTGGGGGGAGGTGAAGGTCACGGGGAGGTGAAGGTCACGTGGAGCTCCTGGTCTCAGACAAAGAGGCTTTCCTTCCTCTCAGAGTCAGCACCGCCATCAGGTTGTTGTTGGGATTTCAGCTGAGAAATTAAACCTGACCTGGAGGAATTCTTTGCAGACCTCCTCCCCTTAAAAGTTGTAAAATTGCCTGCAGGTGAGGCTGTTTTTTCAAGGGTGGCTAATTGCTAAGCTAAGCAGCGGCCCAGCCTTATGTTGGCAGCAGGACAGATCTAAGTGAGAAGCTCTTTGTGACCATGTGACATAACCTGACTTGGCTGCATATGTGCATGTGCGTGGTCATTCTGGGGTGGAGTTGAGGCGCATGGGACTCTGTGGTGCAGCGGTGGTTGGAGTTGGAAGGTCGGACATGGACACCGTCTTCAATCCCATTTTGTGAAGGGAACGCTCATCTGTCACTGAGATGGAGCGAGAGAACGCAGGACGAGGGGCGGGTGGTGGTCCTGGAACAGATCCATTCAAAAATCAATGGATGTATCAATACATAGAGAGGTGGGTGTGTGGGTAATGATATAGGTTCTCCTCCTTTTCTGATTGGTTGGAAGAAACAAATGTAACTCATGTCATGAGAACACAAAACATTAACATTAACATTAAAGACAGGGGGGGGGGGGGGGGGGGGGGGGGGGGGTGAATGTGTTCCTAATTCATAAGACAAGACTTTATCCCACACCAAGGAAATTCATGTCAGCACACCTACTGTAAGACCTGTGACCTCATCACTGTGACCTCATGACCTGTGACCTCAGGACCTGTATCTAAGTCTCTCCACTGAATGACTTCCATTTGAATAGATGAACTCTGCCTTGATCTGTGCAGTCACAGGCGCAGTAGCAGGGTTCAACCCCTAGGGGTCGCAGCAGTGCAGTGAGCTGCAGTGGATTGATCAATGACTGCAGATTTGATCGTCATACATGCAGGAAGAGGGGAGGAGGTTTTTGTGTTTTGTGAGCAATACCCATAGATAATACTCACAGAGAATACTCAGAGAATACTCAGATAATACTCACAGATAATACTCACAGATAACACTCACAGATAATACTCACAGATAATACTTAGATACCCCCCCCCCAGTGCTGTCTCACCTGTGCTGCTCTGGCTGGATTTGACTTTGCTGTTGGTCTTCTCTGTCATGGTCCGTTCGTACTCCCTCACCTCCTCCATGGTCAGCCCTGTGGGCCAGATGAGCAGGTGGTCAACAGTCTACAGACGACCATGTGGTCCACAGTCTACGGGCTACCGTGGAGTATGAAATATTTATCTGAACAGGCTGAAAATAATGCAGTAAAGTTTGCAGGATTACTGCTAGTCTGTGGTGTACGGTGGTGCAGTGGTTCTGACCCACCGTGCCACTCATCCATCCAGGCCACTGCCTGTCTGTGACCCACCAGGAGAATGTCTCGGATGTTCTGAAAAATACACAAACATACTGCATTACTAGAAATACTGCGAACATGTACCAGGTCCAGACCAGCAGCTGAGGTCAGCTGTTACCCATGATTCACAGCTGGAACACTGCTGCTCTAGTATGATCTAGTCTAGTCTAGGTCGATAATAACCGACCCATATGCAGACAGGCGCCGCCAACAGCCAATGAAAACTGGAGGTCGGCACGAAGGCTATGATGTCAGAAGAAGGAAGAAAATCAGAACAGCAAGAGAGGACGAGCGAGCAGGGAGCAGAGAGAGAGAGGAGATGTAATGTTGCTGCAGTGCAGACTTTGATTCATTCACTTGGCTTTAGTTGCTTTGACCAATCGTGTGGCGTCTCAGTGCTCATCAGGTGACGGAGTTCGGCCTGTGATCCTCACTCTCTGTTCGGGGGGGGGGGGGTCAAACTCATTTTCACTGGGGGCCACATCAGCAAAACAGTTCCCCTTGAGGGGCAGGATTTAAATGGAAGACTGTATAGATCAGGGTTCCCCAAACCCCCGGTTCGCAGACCAGTACCAGCCCATAGGTCATTTGGTACCGGGCCACAGTGGGACACGGTGAAAAATGTCACTCAGACTCTGGTCCAAATAGAACAGAGTCTAAAAGATGTTTGATTTTGAAAATGTAACGATCCTTCAGTACTCAGTACTCAGTACTCAGTACTCAGTACCAGTACCATTACCAGTCTGTAGTTTGTGGAGAAGTAACACTTTCTCCTTTACTTCTAATTGTTCTACTGTGTAGCGGTGTGTATCAGTGAGTATCGGTGTGTATCAGTGAGTATCGGTGTGTATCGGTGAGTATCGGTGGGTATCGGTGTGTATCGGTGGGTATCAGTGAGTATCGGTGTGTATCGGTGTGTATCGGTGTGTATCAGTGAGTATCGGTGAGTATCGGTGTGTATCAGTGAGTATCGGTGAGTATCGGTGTGTATCAGTGAGTATCGGTGAGTATCGGTGTGTATCAGTGAGTATCAGTGAGTATCGGTGTGTATCAGTGTGTATCGGTGTGTATCAGTGAGTATCGGTGAGTATCGGTGTGTATCAGTGAGTATCGGTGTGTATCGGTGAGTATCGGTGGGTATCGGTGTGTATCGGTGGGTATCAGTGAGTATCGGTGTGTATCGGTGGGTATCAGTGAGTATCGGTGTGTATCGGTGAGTATCGGTGTGTATCGGTGAGTATCGGTGTGTATCAGTGAGTATCGGTGAGTATCGGTGTGTATCAGTGTGTATCAGTGTGTATCAGTGTGTATCAGTGTGTATCGGTGTGTATCGGTGAGTATCGGTGTGTATCGGTGGGTATCAGTGAGTATCGGTGTGTATCGGTGGGTATCAGTGAGTATCGGTGTGTATCGGTGAGTATCGGTGGGTATCGGTGTGTATCGGTGGGTATCAGTGAGTATCGGTGTGTATCGGTGTGTATCAGTGTGTATCAGTGTGTATCGGTGTGTATCGGTGTGTATCGGTGTGCATCAGTGTGTATCGGTGTGTATCAGTGAGTATCAGTGAGTATCGGTGTGTATCAGTGTGTATCAGTGAGTATCGGTGTGTATCGGTGAGTATCGGTGGGTATCGGTGTGTATCGGTGGGTATCAGTGAGTATCGGTGTGTATCGGTGAGTATCGGTGTGTATCGGTGGGTATCAGTGAGTATCGGTGTGTATCGGTGTGTATCGGTGTGTATCGGTGTGCATCAGTGTGTATCGGTGTGTATCAGTGAGTATCGGTGTGTACTACAGCTACAATGGTCTTCCTCACCTTGTGTATGAACTCCTCAGTTCTGCTCTGGAAGCCGTACACTTCAAAACTGCACTGCACCCTCTTGTAGGAGCACATGATGGGCTCCTGGGTGTCTCTCCAGCCCTCCTGCAGGGGGCCTCGGCCCGTTCTTCTGGACTGCCAGCGACTCAAGTCCTGCACAAAGCAAACAGAGGGTTTCAATGTTACCAGCTGAGTCAGCCCCATGAGGCGCTTTCACCAGAAGCTGTGTGTGTGTGTGTGTGTGTGTATTCACACAGTGTGTGAGGAAAGGAAGGGCAACCGAGAGCGGATGTGATGTGTGTATCAGAGAGAGAGAGTACTAAACATCTGGTACCAGAGTTCCATAAAAGAACGTTGTGGTTTTGATAGAACGTGACGTGGAACTGTGAAGAGATCAGATCATTTTAACTCATGGACAGAAGGAGGCGCACTGTCTGATTATCAGATTATCACTGTTCTAATACACACCCTGACATTCTCTCTCTCTCTCTCTCTCTCTCTCACACACACACACACACACTGTGGTAAACAGTTCCAGTTCCTCCTAGATCTGAACATCGTAGAACTGACGTCTGAGCGTCCTGAGTTTGGGCCACGTACCTCCACTTCTTTGTAGTGTTTTTCAGGGATGGGGTCGCTGAGGATGTCCAGGAAACTCACACTGGGAGCTGGGGAGGGCGTGTCCCCGAACACCTACACCCAAACAGAATACATATAACCAGCAGGGGTCGCTACAGCATAACTTGTACTCGAGTACTCTGTGAATACTCTCACACACCCTAATGGCAAGATAAAAGTAGACTGTGTAGTGAACCAAAGTCAACTACCCCCCCAACTCCCCCACCGACCTCTGACCCCTGAGGCCACACTGGAGCAAAGACCCCAGAACACAGGCAGACCAGAGGGGCAAGGATGTGTGAGGGGTATTAAAAGAGTGGGGAGACAGAGAGTACAGAGTACAGAGTACAGAGTACAGAGTACAGAGTACAGAGTGTACTCCCTGAACAGCAGGAGTGCACACTGCACTTTTAGCATTTTCCCATAATTCCACAGTGAGGTTATTTGTTGACAACAGAGAGAAATGTGCTGTTAGATCAAACGCTGTGCTCTTTGTCCAGTGGGGGATGGGGGGGGGGGTGACCTCCTAGTAGCTGGAGGTACGATGACACCTGGAACCCTGTGTCCTCTGAGCCCAACAGATGGACCAAATGTTCAACCCCCCCAAGACAGCCAGAACAACAACAACAAGATGACGACGACGGCAACGTGACCTGAACTACAGTAGACAAAGATACAGTCAGAGAGTACACCTGAACTACAGTAGACAAAGATACAGTCAGAGAGTACACCTGAACTACAGTAGACAAAGATTCAGTCAGAGAGTACACCTGAACTACAGTAGACAAAGATACAGTCAGAGAGTACACCTGAACTACAGTAGACAAAGATTCAGTCAGAGAGTACACCTGAACTACAGTAGACAAAGATACAGTCAGAGAGTACACCTGAACTACAGTAGACAAAGATACAGTCAGAGAGTACACCTGAACTACAGTAGACAAAGATACAGTCAGAGAGTACACCTGAACTACAGTAGACAAAGATACAGTCAGAGAGTACACAGCAGTAACTGCACAACAACATTCTCCACATTTTTCCTCCTCGACTCGTTGACTTGTCAGGTCTTGTTTCTGGACCAGGTCTTCAGTTTCCTACAACACACGCCCCGGTCTTCAGGGGTTTCTTAGTGTTGGGGCACAAACAACTTGGTGGGGGGGTATGTGACATGGAATCTGATGATGTCACCTGTGTTTGTTGCAGCTCCAGTTTGTTTCAGTGTTGACTGTGGAAGTGAACCACTGCCCCCACCCCATCCCACCCCACCCCCCCATACTCACGTTGTTGTTATTGCCCTTGTTGTTCTCAAATCTGGTCTCGATTCGGACGCTGAACTTGGGGAGAAATGAAACCTGTGAGAGGGAGAGGGGGAAGGGGGAGGGGGGGAGGCGTGAACCAGTGCTACTGTACTGTGTTTGTGTACAGTATGAGATGGAATACTTACAGAGTACTCTGCAGTGTCAGGCACATCCAATATGTTGGGGAGGGGGGGACAACACACACACACACACACACACACACACATACACACACAAACTGTTAAAAGTAAAAACACAACAGTACCCAGTCCAACAGTACCCAGTCCAACAGCAGTAACTGCACAACAACATTCTCCACATTTTTCCTCCTCGACTCGTTGACTTGTCAGGTCTTGTTTCTGGACCAGGTCTTCAGTTTCCTACAACACACGCCCCGGTCTTCAGGGGTTTCTTAGTGTTGGGGCACAAACAACTTGGTGGGGGGGTATGTGACATGGAATCTGATGATGTCACCTGTGTTTGTTGCAGCTCCAGTTTGTTTCAGTGTTGACTGTGGAAGTGAACCACTGCCCCCACCCCATCCCACCCCACCCCCCCATACTCACGTTGTTGTTATTGCCCTTGTTGTTCTCAAATCTGGTCTCGATTCGGACGCTGAACTTGGGGAGAAATGAAACCTGTGAGAGGGAGAGGGGGAAGGGGGAGGGGGGGAGGCGTGAACCAGTGCTACTGTACTGTGTTTGTGTACAGTATGAGATGGAATACTTACAGAGTACTCTGCAGTGTCAGGCACATCCAATATGTTGGGGAGGGGGGGACAACACACACACACACACACACAAACTGTTAAAAGTAAAAACACAACAGTACCCAGTCCAACAGTACCCAGTCCAACAGTACCCAGTCCAACAGTACCTGTGATTGTGTATGGGTAAAAGTTCCAGGCGGTTTCTGTCACATAGAAGAACCAGGGAACGAAGGCTTTTGCCCAGGACGGAAGTTTACTGAGAGAGACGAGAAAAAAGGTAGGGATGAATATTCAGCCACTGAAATCCTTTTAACACCAACACAACATGGCCGAAACAGGAAGTTATGATGACGCCAGCAAAAAACGCGGCCAACGCGGACATATCTGAAAGTACCAACATGTCCGTGGACGTACTTCAATATATCTGAGAGAGACTCACGGACAGAGGTTTGACAAACGTCTAATGTTGACAGGGAGGGAGTGGAGGAGGGTGAGGGGGGGTGAAAAGTCCACTCCTGTCAGCACATGTTCGATTCTGGGCTCCGTTTCTTGAAGCTGGCTCACGAAACACCGAGTTAATTCCACAGCTCTGGCTTCCTGAAGCCGGAGAGTCCAAGTCTGACTTTCTGGTTTCACCAAAGTGGATTACAGTGAATTCTGGGAAGTCTGAGTTCAGTCTGAGTGGCGCTCGTGCCCGACTTCATATGAAGGCTCCGTCAGTGGAGCACAGATCGCACCAACCCCGTCACGTCCTCCACCTTTTACTGTTGAACTGTAACGATGTTGAACTGTAACGATGACGACACGCTGTCAAATAAAAAGGACAACAGCGTCACAGCCGAGGACGACGGAAAAGATGACAGAGAGAGTGAAGGAGTGAGTATTGATGAGAGAGTTATTGATCCTCCTTCATCACAGATATATATATATACTATACGTATATACACTGTAACATCATCAACATATGTCTGTGTCTGTGTCAACACACCTGACAGGTTTTAGGTTTAATCCAGGTTTAATCCAACAGGGATGAAGAGGACGAGGCAGCAAATTAACAACAAACACAAATATAGTACAAACAGGGAAGAATAACTGCTGCCCCCTACTGGAGATAATAGATCAGTGTGATCAGTTGTCTCTTCATGTGTCTGAATAATTCTGCTGTGGTCTGTAGACTGTCAGGACAATGACGTTCAGATGTATTTGTTCGTCAGTCTCTTCGCTGACGTGTTGCTGTAGTGACGGACCAACGTCAAACTAACACGAACACTGCTGGAGATCAACACCAAGGCTCCGCCCACATCGACACACCGTTACCTCCGATACGGTCTCAGCACCACCGATGTTGGTAAAAAACGACATGCAATACGATGTATTTGCTCAATACATTGTAACGATGAGTTTAACAAACGAAATCTGGGCTGAGAATCAAATTCAGTTTTAAAATAAATTGCAAATAAAAACGGAAACACTCGAACAAAAACTTTCTTGGAGTTCTGAAATATCCAGTCGTGGTCTCAGGATTCTCTCCTGACGTCAGTTTCTTCTCACCAACTGAGCTGTGACGTCACAGACTCCTCAACAAACGGCCACGCCCTGTATATTGATTACTGACTCACTCCTTAACTCAGACCTAAGGACCTTAAAAACTGCTCCGGAGCAGGTTTGATCCACGTCACGGTCTAGTCATCTTCATGAAACCAGAAAGTCCGAGTTCCCTCCAACTAACTCTGTCAACTAACTCTGAGTTAGTACTAAGACCACTTCAAGAACCGGACCCCAGATTGATCCACGTTAGAAACATCATTACTGGGATGAGGGAATAAAGCAGCACAGACGAGATCTGATCCAGGCCGCGATGGATATGGAGAACTTGTTTGGAGATGGAGAAGGAGGGCAGTGTTCCAGATGAGGGGCGGGGACCCTGGTTGTCTGATATGTTCTGTGAGATCCTGACGGGGAGTTCCTCAAACAGTAATAATAATAGTAGGCTGTTCTGTTCTGACTTCCTGTCTGACTATCAGTTGTTTTGATTTCTCTGCTCGACATTTGACAATGAATTATTTGGACTATTATTCATTTATTATTACTTTATTCAATCACAGTGTCTTGGTTTCACAGTCAGAGCCATGAATGACCTGCTCCTGATAATAACTGGCTGAATCTTTTCAGTCAAGAACTTTAATTTCGGTGCATCCCTAAAAAAAAAAGCCTCAGAGTGGGGGAGTGGGGGAGTGTAGAGGTGTGGGGGAGTGGGGGAGTGAGGCACTGAGCTCCTGAGTGCTTCCTGGACCATTTATAGCCGGATGACTGGTGGTCTACTGTCATTAGAACGTCTGTTTGAGTGACTCGCCCCCTGTGGTGGAAAGCTGTTACTGACTGAGGCAGAATATATAATCTGGAGCTGTAGGTGGGGCTAGGCTAATGACTGAGGCTAACACTGGATTAGATAAAGATGGTTTATCTGTGTACTCTGATCCTGCACTACACTGCAGTCACACAGTACTGGGTACAGTATTATTATACAGAGTTAACATGTTTTCACTGTACGTACTGCAGTAGAATGTAGACGTTGCATATTTCACTAAATTATAATTTTTTATTAAATACTTGAAATATAATGCTACACAACTCCATTAATACTTTAATAATGCTTAATACTTTTACTCAAAGTACTGGTTCTACTATGACATGAAATGATTGGCCATAACAGTTCCACGTTCCTCAACAGTTCCACGTTCCAGTGTGGTGAATGATCTCTCTACTTACTCCAGGTGCAGCAGCAGCAGCAGCAGCAGCAGCAGCAGCAGCAGCAGCGTCACGTACCTGCTGAGGTAAATTCTCTTCTCCGTCAGCTGCCCCGCTCCATACTGGGGGTGAACACTGGGTTCGTTCTTCACCACCTCCACCCCTTCTCCACCTCCACTCTGCTCACAGCTGTGCTTACTGATCATGTACAGCTGCCCGATCCTGTACTGCAGGAGGAGGAGGGACCGAGTGTAGGGAGTAGGAGAGAGGAGAGAGGAGAGAGGAGAGAGGAGAGAGGAGGTGATCAGGGAGCAGCTTCAACAAACACAGCACACCCGCTGGAACTGAGGGGTAATAAACCTACAGTGTGTAACTTTAGAGATACCCCCACCTCTATGAAACGGCACCGATTGACAGGTAAATAAACCATGGTGTGGGTCGATTCCCTTAAGGTTAATGGACAGAGTTTGGACCTCGCCCCTCGTGTTGAAATGTTTCACAGTTTTGCGTTGATCATTACCATACAGTCCCAGTAACTTTGATTCCGACTCCACATGTACGGTTGTGTGTACATTAATGGAAGGAAAGTGAACTACTTGTCATTGTGACAGCGCTCCACTGCACCACTGCACCACTGCACACAACCAAATGTGACCTCTGTCTTTAACCCATCACCACAGTCAGTGTGTGGGGACGGTGCCTTGCTCAGTGGTATCTTGGCAGCTGGAGTTCACCCTCTGAGACATTGTGTAGAGCACTGCATCATCACTGTCACCTGTTGAACATACAACAGTCAGAATGACACGGGGTTTCCTACCCTCACACAGACGCACTCCAGCCTGAAGGTGGCGGTAATGTTGCGGAATGTTTTTTTTCTTTGTGGTGTCTGTCTGTTGATTGTTCTCCACCTGTTCAGACTGTGTTCTGTTGTTCTGACCTGTGTCCACCTACATTCTTGAACTTGGTTCTACAAGTGGTTCCTGAAGGTGCTGTTCCACTCTCAGCCACCAGAGTCTGTCCACTCATTTTCACCTGATTTGCAGCCTTGAGTTTTTCCCACAGCGAAACCCAATACTGAACATTCCTGCCCAGGTGTACGGTTACTGCAGTACCAGTGGTACACCATGTACTCTGCTGTGTAGAGACACCTCAGATACTGTAGGGGGCGCATGGATTTAAATGAGAAGTTAGCAGAAAGACTATTTGCTCAGACACTTCAGTTCTGTTTTGGCTGTTGTCACAGCAACAGTTGGAGCTTCAGGTCACGTGCCATCGTCTGACCGGGTTCTGTCGAAGCTCTAACCGGTTTGACCAGTTTGTGTTTGTAGATGAAGAGCACTCAGACACAACAGCCGGCCCAGGTGCTGTGCATTGGCTCCGTCTGATTGGCCGAGGCTGCTGTTGCTAACGTAGCACGCTACCGAGTGTGTGGAACACACAGAGGTCTGGGTGTTCTCACCAGAACACCAGAACCTACAGCACCTGACCTCCAAACACAACCGCTCCCTAAACCTGTCCAGTGTGTGTGTGTGTGTGTCAGTGGGTGTGTGTGTGTGTGTGTGTCAGTGAGTCTAACACACTTACCTCGTCTACAGTCAGTGGCATACAAACACGGTACTCTTTAATCAGCATGGTGCTGTGAGAGTGAGCTCTGTCCCTCTGTCTGTCCCTCTGTCTGTCCCTCTGTCTGT